AAAGTCCGGCCGTGACGCAACACCTTACGTTGCGGACCGCGTCTCACGGAATTCCTCGGCGAGGCTGAAAGGGACGCCTGACACTCGACGCCCGACCCAGGCACAATGCCCCGCGCGCCGCATCCTAATTGTCCGTAAACTTTTATTTTTATTTTCAGTTCACAATCGGTCTAGTTTATGAAAGTGTTAAACGACCTTGCCGGAGAAAGTTGTTTGCCTCCCCGCGCGCCTCTCTCTCTCTCTCCTCCGACCGCGACGCCCCCCCTCCTCCCCCCGTTCGCCCCCCGGGAGTATTTTTTCCGCTTCCGACCGGGCGCTCGTCCTTCGGCACCCTTTTCTCCACTCCCTTTCTCCTGGACAATGACTCTTTAAACCCGAGAGCACTTGCGAGTAAAAGTAAATAAGTCCTTCATTTCGTATGCATAATCTTTTACTTTTACTAGGAAGCGGATGCGTGGGCCAGGCAGCGTATCCGCGCCAGGGATCCCGCGGCCCTTGCGCGGTTTCGACTTAGAGGGCGGCCTGGAGCTACGGTTGCGGTCGTAGCTCATGCGAGGGGTCGAAATTCGATCCGCACCTGGAGCTACGTTTTCCTTGTTACGCGCTTTGAAAGTGCTGGGTGCATCCTGCCGCGAAGGCTCCGCTTGAATAGGAGAATAGAGTCGTAAAGATCCGACCTTGACGTCGAAGAAAGTGAAATAAGGAACTGCACGCGCCTGCGCCGACGGTATTGGGCCGTATCTGGAGCCTCGTTAGAGAGAGTTAGTCTGATTGGAGCCTGCGACGCTCATGCAGCACCTATGAGGAAAGTTCGTAAATAGTTATAAAACGATGGGCACAATTACAAACGCTCTGGAATTTTTCCTCGAATTGTTTCAGGATGCAATTAAGATTTTGTTCGTGTGTGTTTATATGAGTTTTTATGTTTCTTCTCTTTATCTTTCTCCTGTTATTTATTTATCTGAGAAGAAAAAGGGCGGGAAAGGGTTAAGAGAGAGAAGGGAGGGTATGATGTTTTATCTTCCTCCTCTTTTAGTTATATGGGGTTATGGACAAGGGACATGGATTTTTTTCCTTGAACCTTATGTAAAGTTTTCAGCTCAAAATGACAAATCTCCCTTTTTGCAAAAAGTACGATATCGGCGGCTGAAATGCGACCCCCGTATCTCCATCGCGATGTTTCAGAATCTTCGCCCCTTGTTTATTTTTTCGGAGAAGAACAAGTCGTCTATATAGCTTAAAATTCAGAATATTCTACTAACAGGGATTAAAATACAAGGAAGTTTTCAAGAAATTACGTTGGGAAAACATAGTATGACTGGAAGTCTACAACGTCGCAAACGGAGATACCGAGTCTCGCACTGTAGCTATCAATATGCCCTCTACTTCAGAGGCAGATATTTTGTCGTATTACGATTCCTCCTGATCACTGATTGTGAGATACCTCAATATTTGTCGCCCCGATCATCTCCCCCGGACAGTTTTCGGCGAGGCGCTTAGTGGACCGAATCAGTGTGAGAAGTCGGACGAAAATTGGAAACTTTAAACGCTTATAACTTTGAGGTTCAAAAAGTGGCTCCATTGGTTTCCTTGTAAAATTTTCTTCACAGGTAAAAAAAACACATTGGATCTAGAGCCCAGACTCTTGAAAACATTGACAAGAAAAAGGACTCTTGATTCAATCAGATTTAAGCTTAAATCAAAAGGAAATCCGCTCAAATTAAGAGGCTTGGTTCTTGATTTAAGCTTAAATCTGATTGAATCAAGAGTATTTTTTCTTGTCGATGTTTTTAAGAGTCTGGACTCTAGATCCAATGTGTTTTTTTCCAGTGTTCTCTATGCACCCCTCGAAATTTAAAATAGGTATGACGAAATAACCATCAAAATTTGCAGTTCTAGTCAAAAATTTCATGTCCGACCTGCTTTGACAGCGAAAAGAGCAGTAAGTGCAGTGGAATGAACCTCGAAACACTTGGAAGCATGTGTTAACCATGGCTCATGCAGAATTGCACTTACGGCTCTCTTCCCTATCACGGCAGCGACCTCTCCTATTGACTCGACCCACTGTGTGGCGCCGTCTAGAGTACCTATATTGAGAGAGTATGGCCACTGGTGTTACCACCTCTGATTGGCTCAGCCATCTTAGGCTGAATGGAGCCTTTAGGACCCAAAAATGGCGGACGCCATCAATTAACGTAATGCAAAATGACTCAAAATTTAGTTTTCTTTGCTTATCGTAACGAGAAATTTACCCAAATGCACTATTGCGACTTCTTTACATATTTTTAAGGCCAATCGTGTGCAATTTTTGAGAAAAATTATCTTAGATGTAGTAAGGTTGGCAGCAGTGGCGTAACGGGTGCCCCCGCAGACCCTGCTATGCAGGGGGGCCCAGGCGCCTAGGGGGCCCTCCCTCGGCCGCCGGGATTTTTTTTTTTTCTCTTTCTCTCTTTTTGATGCTCAACTTTGGTTTCAAACTTTTGGCCTCTACTTACAGAGATGGGGCTTCTTCCTCTGATTTTTATTGTTAGCTCGGGTTTTTTCATACTTCTTTCGGACTGTTCCTAACTTTTTGTTTGCTGGAGGGTCCCTGGTTTCCAATGTCCACTCGGTGATTACTAGATAATTTTCTCTTTTTTTGTCACTTCTCGTATTTCGGGCTTTGGAAGGGGGGAGGCCCAAGAATCTAATGGCCCCGAGGCCCTTGGGGGCCCTTTGATTCTTGGGCCTGGGCCCCCGCCTCACTTTAGATCGTTGATCCTTTAGTGGCCCGATTTAATCGGGTACGGGATCCGGGACGGTGAGGGATGAGTCAAATTCAACATAAGGACATAACGTAAAAATAGGCTAAATCCTGCACATACCATACCTAAAGGTAAAAAGATATAAGCTGCTGCCATTTTGATATTTTTGGTGGTTAAGGCTGATTTTTGCAGAAATGTTCGTGCTGCGGGCCCCGACCATAAGAGGAAAAACGAGAAGGAGCGAGGGAGGGAGAGGGGCGGGAGGAAAGGATACTTTTGAAATTTTATCGACATTGGGGGGAGGGGGGGCTAGAAAAAATTTTGCGGGGGGGCCCAGCGGAAGTCCGTTACGCCACTGGTTGGCAGCAAGTGCGGTTGGTGACAACGGTCAAAAGTTGGCAATGACCCCCCTCCCATCCACATAAACCAAAACAAAGCACCGCATTTTTGGGTCCTAAGCCTCTCCATGGGGCCCAGTGGCCATACTCTCTCAATATAGGTACTCTAGCGACGTCGTCAGTCACAATGTCTAAAACTCATCATAAACCATCACGACTGTACCTGATGAGCCGCGATGCGGGCAGACGTTATTCCTGTCATCGCGAGTCAACATTCAGGACTCCGCGGGAAAGTGAAACCGCGAATAGGAAGATGCACCGCGGTGGCGGTCGATGCACACGGATTTTCGAACGACCGACCGATGAATTCGAGAAATTCGTGGCGATGACCACTCCGCACATTTCGGTTTAATGATGCAGATCGTTTAAGAAGAGGGACCATTTTCCTTCTTTCTTCTACTTTTATACGTTGGACGTTGGAGTAACGATCGGCCGTCTTAGATGTGCGGAACAGTTGACCCACTCAGGTTAACACTCTGCACTGTCGCCAAGTTGTTGTTGTTGTCAATGCCGTCTTCAACGAGTTCACTAATACTGCCGTGATGCCGTAAGTGCAAAATTTTCGAAATCGAGTTTTCTGCAAAATTCGTCTAAACTCTTTTAGATGAAATTACTGAGACAGCTAAAACAGCAAAATTCATCCTAATTTAATGAAAACGAGACGTATGAGAAGGCCGTAAGTGCGCAAAAAATGACATAGTTTTTTTTCAAGACAGCCGCAGGTGCATGAGAGCCAATAAAAACAGTGGATTCCAGTAAAGTGCCGCCCTCTTCTGACAATTTCTAACCTGAAAATGTGTTTTTCGTGCGTCCAAAACGCAACCACGAAAGCATGCAGAAGACAGCACTTACGGCTGTCTTGCCTAACAATATAACAATATATGCCTTGCCTGGCATGAAAATGAAAAATACCCTTTTTATGTAATGGAAATAAAATCAGTCGATTTTTAATCATCCATACGATTTCTAGGAGTCTTCCGGACGAACAGTGGCAATTTGACGAAGAACGGAGGCTTCTTCCAATGAAATGTTCCGGTCAGAAGCTTCTGAGCCCGTTTTCTCAGAACTTCATTTTTGCACTTACGGTTCTCTTCGCTATCACGGCAGAATAGCACAATGACGCTTAAAAGATGCACAGAGAGGAAGCTCAACAAAATAGTTGGGTTAATACGGGGAGTGAAAGACAAAATAACCCAAGCCCTCGGTCGATCTCAGTCCCATCCGCATTGTTTTTTGCGCTAAATTTACCGCAAGCTGTATCAAAATCAACACAAAATTTGGGTTCCTTCGTTTTTCACTTCCTCTATTAACCGAAAGTAACACAATAACACAAATGTTTTTATCAGTGTGTGGCAGCTATCACAGGCTGAAGGTTTTGAGCCGTTACCCAGAATTCACTGATTTATAGTTTTACAAATCGATTCTTGTCGAACATTTTTAGAAAAGTAAACTACGAAAAACAGTCATTGAAAGTGATCAAGAGGTGACTAGTAAACCCACGAAGAGATGAGAGAGAAGGAGGGCTTCCTTTTTTTGATATTTCAGGGTGGTTCTGAGTTGAATAGTTGGGTTCAAGCCAGCCCGAATGTCTCCATTTGATGTGCACTGTGCAGTCAGGCATCTCAAAAAAAGAGGAGAAGAATAAAATACGTGAAACATGTGTCAGTTTGACATTTGCCGCTCAACCACTTTTTTAAGCTCTAATCATTCAATGGATTGACGAATCATTATACCATTCAATACCAAGACAGGGGCATCTCACTTTTAATTATTTTCCCATGAGCCACAAAAAAGTTAAAATTTACTTTAAAGTATGCCTCATTTTTCTAATCATTTTACTATTTATTTTTTTTTCCAGGTGAGGCCTTTTTTGATGACGTCACTAAAGCTGTTTCCTGGCTCTCGCAACCTCTCTTATCAACACAGAAACAGGTAAATCTGGAGTTTTGAGCATTTCGCATTTCTCTAGATTGTTTCTTTTAACGTTTGAAGATTAATTTACACTATACATGTGCCGCACAGTGGATCGAGTCAATGTGAGAGTTCGGACGAAATTTGGAAACTTTAAGAGCTTATAAATTATTCGTTTGTACACAATTTTGACGTTCTAAAATCAGCTCCATTGGTTTCCTCGTAAAACTTTCCTAGAACTTTCGTAGAAACACCCATTAAGATTTATAATGTGACGAAATAAACATCAAAATTTGCAGTTTTAGTAAAAAATTTTATGTCCGACCTCTCAGATCGAATCGATCCACTGTGCTGCCGTGCTAAGGAAGAACGCCGTATGAACCTTCAGGCGTTGCCAAATTTCCTTCGGCAAATCACCAATTTTCGGGAAAATTTATCAAGATTTTTCCGATAATTTTATTCTCAATTTCACTTAAAGTTCCTGAAAATGTCAAGGAGAAATATCCATAACTTTCCTCAAAAATACACATTTTCTGAGAGGAAATTTGGCAACTCTCGAATGTTCATACGGCGTTCTTCCTTAGCACGGCAGTGCGTGCCGCATGAATCGAAGTTCGGTCTAACTGACCGTAGCTCTCTTTCTCTGTGTCAGATATTCAGCTTTCGATCAGGAATCTGGCAACATCGATTTTCGGTGTCAGAAAATTAGACAGCGAGACAATGTCTCGTCTCCTAAGAACATGCTAATGACGCGCCAGGCAGTGAAGCGGCGCCGCAACGCGACCCTGCCATTATCGTGCAAATCAAAAAATAATTCGCCGCTGCAATTACGCGATCGTAAACGAGAAAAGAAATCCGAAGCCTGGCAGCTTTTACGGCGCCGAGCGCCGATTCTGGGGACCCAGGAAGAGGTCCCAAAACCGTGAGTCCGGCCTTGCGGTGTCGTTGGCCGAATTTCCAGGGCGAACGTGAGTCCCAAATATCACTGAAAGTTCCACTGATCAACAGTTGTCTGTGGGTCAGACTAGGGTGAGAAATTAATAGGTAAAATGGACAGATTGCCCTAAGCATGTCTTCAGTCCTTTTCTTCGATTGCCAGACTTCACTCCCGTAGTTAGGCCTTGTCTCCACGGGACGTTTTCATGGGATTTGTCCCAAGTTCGAATCGCAGGAATGAAACATCTGGGATTTTTCCCAGCTACCGTCTCCACGGGACGAGGCTCATACGGTCCTGCGACTAGTTTGCGCGGGAAGATAAATTAGATAAAGTCGAGTATTAAACCGGGATTAAAATAATAATTGCACTCAATTGACAATTAGACACATTATTTCAACTAAACAAACATGAACCATGGAGTATTCAACAAAATATCGCACAATTTGTTTACACTTCTTCTTCCTCTCTCAGTGGGTCCTAGGAGTAAAAGGACCATACTTGGTACTGGGAAAAATATTGATTAACTCAATATTTTGCCTAACTTCTGAAGTGGGATTTTTCCCTGGGAAAAATCTCGTGAAAAGGCCCGTGGAGACAAGGCCTAGGGTGAGAAATTAAAAGGTAAAATGGACAGATTTAACGCATTAAACGGCCGGAACCCAATTGGACCGAGTTCATCAGAGAGGAACCAACCCACATTTTCTTAAAAAAGTGAGTTAAGAATTTTCTTGAGTTTCTCTAGTTTTACATTCACTCCCCGGAGGGTGGAACTTCCCACCATGGGGTATGCCAATGATATTTAAATGTAAAGAAAATATATTTTGCAAAGTAAAGGCCGATTTTTATTATTATTATTTTTATTATTTATTAGTTGTACATTCTCTCCTGCCAAAAACTGAAATTCGAAAAAAAGTATTAGTTTGTGAAGAGAGGAGTTAAAGTTTGTAGTCCACATTGAGTCTTATGAAGGAATATATGCGTAAAAATTCAAACCTCTTTTTCTCAGTTTCAGCTCGATGTGGGTTGGCTCCTCTTTGATAAGCTCGGTCTAATTATGATTCTTTACCGTGCGGTTTGATTTATAGGTTGACATCTTGATACATCTTAATAGGGACTTTATTAAACGTTATTCTTTTTGCATTTTATTCGCCCATGTTTGCTGACGTCAATGTCAGATTTACTGCTCAACTTCAAATTTCGTCCAGTAACATGCCTCTCACGTTTCACGGTACACTATATTTATTACCTCTTAGGCTGTGTCAATGGATTGGGTAAGATACGTCTGTTTATATATTCAATGAATTACAATGTTATGGTAAGCTCGATTCTTCACCATCCCGTAGGTAGAGCCACCGGCGCGGCTGTTATCCATGATTGCAATTATAATCCTAATTCTACATCGAATGTTACGACCTCAGAGTGAGATCTTTACGTTTGTGCTAACAATTTCGGTACGTAAAATTTAAATTTCAGTATCATAATTATACTGATAAACTCAGAAAAATTTCGCCCTGGCATTCCAGGAGGTAGAAATTTTCCAAAATATACCATAAGAGAGAAAGTTTAAAAGTTTGCGAAGTAAAAGAACAGGCTATTTGCGTATGTGTATGTGTGTGAAATGAAGAAAGTTGGATTTCTTTCGTATCAGCTGATCGAGGAGTCTGACACTCGAGCCTCGAGCGCGAAACGCTGTCACCATGACAACGCGCTTCCTTCGGCAAGATTTACTCGTTCTGGTCGGAATTTCGAGGTGACGTCTATTTTTGAGATGATTTCATTGTAGAATCCGTTTTTACCTCACTTTTGTCAGTTAATTCAATTTCATTCCGTGGGGAGCTAGAGGAGCCATTTTGATAGGAGAAACAAAAGAAGCTTTTCCATTTGAGAGATTCCGACGGCATTAAAGAAGAAAAAATTTCCTTCCTGAAGATCTCTGAAACCTAAGTAAATCGAAGTTCATAAGTTGCCTAAGTAAATCGAAGTTCATGAGTGGGCGGGGTTATCCCGCCATCTGCGCCCCCTCTTTTTCTATAGTAATGGGGAGGAGCGGCATCTGAGTTTAATTTTACCATAACCGGCTTTTTATCCATGAAGAGATGGAGAGATGCCAGCTTCCGGAGGATCTCTACCATGACAGATTCCTGTGGAGAAAAGGCGTCGCAGAGCGCCTAAGCGCGCTGTAAAAGCGGCTCATGCATACATACCGGCTTTTTACTTTCTCGCTCCCATAGGGTAGAGAGGAAGTATTGTCATCCTCCAAGAAAAAAAAAAAAAAAAAATTGAAATTTCATCATTTCTAGACGTTTGAAGGTCCCAGGAGTAAAAATAACCATACTTGANTTTTTTTTTTCTTCGGTTTGTTTTTAAAAAAAGGTAGAAAAAGAATGAAGATTGCCCAAATGCTCATGCTCCTAGAAGAACTGGTATGAAAGAAAAGCCCAGGGTTTGATGGAAAATGGCCTTCAAAAGCATCATCTCGACTTCGAGCTCCTTCATTTCTTGTGATACTCTAAGCTTTGTTGAGAAGTTAGTTTAGTTGCGTGACCTAGCTGAACCTAACTAAGGCCACTTATTTCACTATGCGCTCTCCTCAATTTGCCTGTTAATTTACAGAGAAGAAAGTGTCTTTTCACATCTAAAGGCAAAATAATCAATGATCAGTTCTCAAATATTGTTCCTTTTTTCCTGCATTTCATGTCTTTCTATTTATAGACTAAATAGAATGGGAATTATCGGCATTGTCCAAAGTGAAACATCAAACCCTAATTTTTAGTTTCACAACTTCTTCAAGTTATACAGCGTGAAATTTTCCATCGTTGAACTCGTTTTTCTCGGCATAATGACAATACCACCCAACACAGATTCAAATTAAACGTCACCACGAAGGCTTCCCTGTATGTTATCTCTATTTTTCCAGCGAAAAAACATAAGCGCAGAAGTATGTACACTACCATGCTAAGGAGGAGCGCCTCATGAACATTCGAAAGTGGCAAAATTTCCCTCTAAATATGTATTTTTGACGACATTCATGCGCATTTTTCCTTGACATTTTCAGATATTTTAGATTAAATTGCGTACTAAATTGTCGGAAAATTTTGGAAAAAAATATTCACAAATTTCCCAGTAGTTTTGGTTTTTTTGGAAGGAAACTTGGCAACGTACGAAGGCGCATACGGCGCTTTTCCTTACCACGGCAGTACAAACCTACGAACCTAGACCTTCAAACCTAACTCCGAATATAGCAGTTCGCTGACCATCACACATATAATTATTTCGCTTTTCGGTTCGTTGAACATGAGCCTCACCACGAAGAGTTGACAGGCGCTCTCAACATACTTAACTCCCTCGTTTCCTACAAAGCTCGGGAAACGCAGCTTCCGATATTATGCCCGTCAAGTGACACTAATCCGCCCTTCATAATTCAAATGAATGAGCAAATTGAGAGGTGATGGACGTGTGAAGGCTTTCGGCTTCAAACGTCACTTTATCGTCGCCCATCTGACGTAAGGGCGTCTCTCAAGTTCCAAGTGAACCCTGTTTTGCATATAAATCCATGCTTTCTAGGGTTCATGCAAAACTCGAGATACGCCCTTACGTCATAGTAGCGACGATGTGTTGACTCGGAGATTTTGACTCTGTGCACTGATCGTGCAGTCATTATGCCCTTTTATTTTTTCGGAAGAGAGAAAATGAAATGCCGTAATGAGAAACGTGCATAATTATATCAGTTATAAATTTCCTCTTCAATTAACTCTTCGAATACGAATGCCTAGAAAACATAGGCAAGTTCGAATTCACCGGAACCTTATATGAGAATAAATGGAACAAATTAGGCAAAATTTTACCGATGATTTGATCGTATCCAAAGTTAATTGGGCAAAATTCAATACTGTAATCACAAACAAAAAGTCCGCTGTGATTTTTGTCTCGATTCCTCCACATTTCCTCTTTGTTTATCTGGCGTTTAATTCTCCGAGTGCACATTAAATTTCGTATCGAGTGAAATTTTTCAACTTTTGGGGATGGACGTGCTAGGATGTAATTTCTACGCTGTGTGGGTGTGAAATTCAAAATTTTTTAATTT